GTTAAATACATTCATGTCCTGCATTAAACACTGTGTAAATGCATCCAAATGCCCCTTCTAATGCAGCTTCTGTGTTTTCTCTGCATTGCAAAGATTAATTTTGTCAATACTGATTTCATTTGCTTGGTAACAGCCCAAATGACTTATTATTCTAATTGACTGATTCAATTTAAGAATTTGACTGAAAAGATGATGCACACTTTTAGAAACAATGCCTTTATAAAGGTAAAAATGCCAATAAAAGGTAAAAATCAATTTAAACTTATTTGAAAAGATTTATTTCTATCACTGCTGTGAACTGATCACCACACAGAATATGAAGAATATCAAAACTTTAGGAGTCAGCTGTCCACGGTAGTCCTTAAGATATCAGCACAATAACACACTCAGCAAAATATTATCTAATTATCGTTATCAATAAAATCCCAGAAAATATTGAGATATATTTTTTTGTCAATATCACACACCCCTAATATGTTTATAACGTTTTGTTTAGAAAAAATAAATAAAAATAAATATGAGAAGTGCCCTTTTTTCCACTTGAGCCCCTGCCCCTCAAAATGTCTGTGCACGTCCCTGGTAATTGCGATACCTATGGACATTTAAATTAATTAATTAATTAACTGTGCTATTAGTCAAATTCATCTTTGAATTGTTTTGCATTTTCACAATAAAACAATCACACTCAAAAGACAGTGGAGGTGGAGAGAGATTTTGTCTCCCACACTGATGGGCTTTTTCAAATAAAATTTTAGTTTCAATTTTGATTTTGGTTTCCAATGATTATGAAAAACAACAAAAGAGATAAAAACGATTATAGTGCCACATTCTGTTGCTTTCCTTTACAGTGGTTTGCTTGTGCCCCTCTTAATAACATTTTTTAAATTAACATCCAAATCAGTCAAAACATGTAACATGACTGTCATAAAATGCAGTCTACTGCTGGGACAAAACAGGATGTGTATCAGTATACTGTATCCATGCATTCGGTCTTAAAGTGACAGCAGCTTAATGTACTTGCTGCAATCTATGTCATTAATCAAACAAAAAACAAAAAAAAGAGAAAATCACTCACTGATCTTAACTGAATGAGTTTTGTAATACAAATCAGTGTGAGTTTAATTCATACAGTGAAGACTATTCTGTATTTTATTTTACATTTGATTGTGTTCCTGATGAAGAAAACCGTAAAGTGCTATACTGGCACAGACAGCATGTGGTTAAACTGGATTGCAGATGAATGAATTGGGCTACATACAGTGTGCAAAAGTGGTACAAGTGAATGGTAAATTTTCCTCATATACATCACATACACAGTCATACACAATCAAATACTGAGGATAAAAAGTGGAAGTCCTTGGAAGTCCACATGAATGCTTCAGTACTGAGGTATCTCTACGTCTCCTGTCTCAAATCATAAGATCTAGTCAGTCCTCTTAATTACCCAATCCTCAAAGTGCATATGGATCCAAACCTGCGTGCAACTAATGTGCTGTGTAATGAGAAATTGCAAGAGCTATGGACTATGAAATAGTTTTCTTACATTCTTAAAGGAATAGTTCACTGAAAAATGAACATTCTGTCATTATGAACTGTCATTCCAACCCTTTTTTTCTGTAGGGTACAAAATGAAATCTTTTTCACTGTATGACAGTTCTTACTAACCAAGGGCTGTCAAGCTTCAAAATGACAACATTGAAAACATTTCATAAAATTATATTTAGTTCAATTTGTATATTATATTTCAAGGTTTAACATGTTTTACTGTACTTCATGTTTTGAAGTTCAAATACACACAAAGATAAATGAGGCAAAGATAAGATAATGTGAAAGATTTTTTTTTTTGTCAGAAGAAATGCTTGTCATTTGAGAAGACTCCAAATATAGTGCACTACATGAATAGACAACTTTTTTGTCCTTTTCTGGGTTTTACAGCCCAGAAAATCGTTTACTTTCATTGTATGGAACAGAGCAGCCTGAACATCTCCATTGGTGTTCCACTGAAGAAAGTCATATGAGACTGAAATGAAATGAAGGTGAGAAGAAGACAGCAGAGTTCTTATCTCTTTCAATTCTGTGAAACAGTAGAATGCACTGGCATACATTTCTTAGCATTTCAAAGAATCCAGCTGGGTTTAAAAGCATTTTAAATAGTATTTCATAATTCTATTTGCGTCTGTGTGCGGTTCTTTCAAACTGAGCCCTTCCAGTATCTTCAAACCACATTAGCAGGCTGTACGTTCTCTAGCATGCTCTTGAGAATTGTTTCTTTTGAACTGGCAAGTCTGAATTTGGGGCAGTATAATATGCATTCTTTCTATACTGTCAGTCAGACATCACGGATGTAATGATGGACTTTTTTAATCCACGCACATAATCCGATGGCAAACAAAACAATAAACAGCACTTGGCGTCTACTTTAAAGATTAAACCCCTGCCCATTTTAAAGTCTTAGCAGCATAAATGCATGTGCACTCCGCCATCAGTTATACCACCAACTGCTTTTAAGCAGATTCATGTGCTTTGCTCCCATCTTTGACCTTACTGTCCTGAAAAAAAATTGGAAATGTTGAAATTATACATTGCTTTCACACTGCCATCCAACGATCTGATGCAGAAACCCCAAATTCAGAGCTGAAAGAAACAGACCTCCCAGACATCTATAGAGGCTCAGACACTTAAATATTACTTGAAAGGGCATGCACTGAATTCTGATCCTCTTCACTTGAGTCATACAGTCAGAAACAAAAGCTGCAACGACATTCATTAAACCAGTATCTGTGATATTGGAATGTTAGTCGAATGTATTTATAAAAATAAATAAAATAAAAAAGAGAGAGTGAGAGACATACTGTATTTCACAAAGGCGTTAAGACACTCAAAGATCATTAAAGATTACAAAACATCTGATGTTTGCATTGGGTCTTGTTATTGAGAATTATTCCATAAAGACAGCAACAATTCTCATCCCAGAACCCAAAATAGCAGCATGCTTAATGCATTATCAAGGTCAAAGTTTAGAGTGTTTGCTAGTGACTAAATAAAATAGAATGCAGAAATGCTCAGTCCATATTTAGGTTCTTGCCTACATTGTTTACATGCCAGTTTGACCCAAATGAACGAGTTTTAATTAATATATTAAAACAACTGCATTATGAAATGAAATCATTCAAGAAATGTCAACTCCAGCCATCAGTTACCTCCCAAAAAACCCTGAGCATCAGAAGACCAACCCATAGAGAGTCATCAAAGCAACTCGGCTATCGATCACAGAGTCATTTGGCTTTGTCAACAGCTCTTCTGTGGCTTAAAGTGCACAGCGCCTACCATAACAGTACATTTTCTATCAGCCCTCATGTGAACAACAATGACAGTCACTAGCAGTGGCATCAGACAAGTGGTGTCAGATCTCATTGTAGAAAAATTGCTTTGGGTTTATCAATAACAGATAGAAGAGGGCAGTGAGGGATTTCGCTCCAGTTGAAGCTGATATTGCTAAAGGCAGGTGAGTATCGAACGGTCCGTCTGCCTGAGCCAGGGGTAAATAGTGATTAATGGGCAATGGAGGAAGGTTTCGCAAGGAACTGTGTGAGTGCCTGCAATCTGACTCTTCTCTTCAACCCTGCTCTGCTCAAGCTCATGCAACTCCGTCGATTTCAACAAGAGAAGTGAATTCTGAAGTGAAATGGAAATATCTTTTTTTTTGACTAAAACGGCTCGAGCTAACCAAAGATGAGATTAGAGAACACCAGCAATGATTTTATCATTTTCCAAACTAATCGGGTTTATTGATTAGCCGTGTCAGCAACTGAATAAGCTTTAAATCTGTCAGAATGGCTCAGGCAGTATTGACTGAACTGGATCCAAGTTTGAAAATAAGCTAGGAGAAATGTGTCTGCCTGTAGTCAGTGGTTACACATTTTAAATGCCACAGTTCAATTTTTAACCACAAGACCTCCATTGTTCAAAAATACAGTACAGTAAAAGCACTTTCTATTGTGCTATTGGCCTAGACAAAACTAGTTTCCATGAAAACTAAAACAAGTCTGAAAAGCACACTGCTATACAAAATTCAAGCTTACATAATGATGTTGAATTATGAACATTTAAAAAATAAGACGGGTGCAGGGGTGGAGAATTTTGCTCAAATCTATTGAACATTTTCACCTTTATAGCAGATGGAAACATTCTGTGACAACATGTCCAAATATTTATAGAATATTTCTCACTGCTATTTGCCATATATCAAGATTTTACAATTTTGTGGCAACTGTGAACAATATCAGGAAATGACTGTGATGTTGCAAAGTGATTAGCTGTCTTCATCGCAGTAATCTCTTGAACACAAACAGATTAATATTATATAAATTTTTTAAATCTGAAATGATGTCACCATTCTTGACTTTTGTATGCTGAGTGTTAATATCTGTTCAAACCATTTCCACTATTATATTAGGACTGTTAGGCACAAAATTGCTACAGTACATAAAGTGCAGATTGCAAGTTATGATCAAGCTTAAAGGTCAATCATAACGCTTATACTGCTTCTCCATGTAATAAAGGAACTGACTATAAAACTATTACGGGTTAGAAGAAAATCCTGCAGTTTGGTGTAAAATGCCCTATAGCCTACACTGATTTCACAGTCAAATTGAGAATATAGTATTTTATTGTAAGAAATTACTATTAAATCTTAAACCATTAAATAATTGATATAAAAAAATAAGATAATATTGAAATGCAGACTTTGCAATATTGATATTATTATTATTATTATTTAATAATAATATTATTATTATTATTTAAAATAACACTGTTACAGCTGTTATAGTTTTAGCTCATGCAGCTTAAACCAGCTAATAACCACCTTGGGGTAGTGAGAAACTTGCTATTTTGTTTTAATACACAACTGGATTTTCCAGAAGGACATAGAAACGTGCATCGCTCCATTGGTTACGGACAATTAACTTCACTTGAATACATAAAGTAGGCGTGTTTACCTTGTGCTCAATGATGCTGCTGTATCCCTGCAGTGCTGGAGGCGCGCGGGGCGCACTGGTGGGCTCCACTTTCTCACCTGACGCGCCCTTAGACGCGCTGGATGCTGTAGTATTATTATTGTAGCTGACGCTGTACACGAACAACAGGCTGGTGCACATGGTGATGGCGAGAAACACGGCTACTCCATGACGCTGGAAAACACGAGGGCAAAAGTTCAAATCCACACAGAGCGCAAGGTCATAAATCATCACCAACTCATGCCCTCAGCGCAGTCAATTATAGGATACAAATCACATTTCCATGCTCAAATATTAATTAGTTTGGGACTGAGATGATAAGAACTTGCAGGTTGTTACTAAATGCTGATGCCTAAAACTAATGCATCAGATCATGCAATAATGGGTTTGCATCAGCAACATTAGACTAAGTACGATCATTAGGCTATATGGTGGTCTTATCTTAACAAAAATAAAAAGCGCTAAAAAGCTAACTTATTGTGTATTTAATAGTGTCATACTAAACTAAGAAAATTCCTATGCACAAGAATACACCATATTCTTATTACATGTTTAAAATAATATTTTTAAAAGAAAATCACAAAAGCCATGTTCTTTTCTCAAAGCAAAATTTCCTGTCCCCCAAAATTAATTTCCGACCAGTCATTATTCAGGAAAAGGGGATTAGGTTTTTTTTTATTGTCTTTAATCTTCTTTCATTCAGCATGTGAAAGCAACAGAGAGCCGCAGTACTTCAAGAACAATGCTGCACAGGAGAGATGCGAGACATTCAAACAGTTTTCACTACAGTTACCATCGGTGTCTTCATCCTGAAGCCAGCTGGAATATTCCCGGGAATGTGCGCATGAAGATCCACTTTTTTGCCCGATTGTTGCTACTTCATCAGATTATGTCGTCATTAAATTGCCGCGCTCCGCTCGCGCTGGGAGATGCCAGTGTGTGTGCGGTGCGCCCGGACTGAACCCATTCTTGAGAGCGGCGAGCAGAGAGCGAATGTGACAACGCGCGGTCCTAAAGAGCATTGGGTTTGAGTGTGAACTCTAATTCAGCGTTCAGGACAAATTGCACACTTACTGTATAGTCATTGCGGCGACATGGAAATACAATAATCATCTGTTGTAAGAGGCTAATATATTTGTGCTTAGGTTTTTTTTTTTTTTTTGGCATACAATGTGCGTACAACTGTGCAGGAATATTACAGGTTCAATCAGTGCTTGAAGTGGAAAAAAGAAGTGCCGGTACCAATGTATGTATATAATGCCGAAAGAAAGAAAGAAAGAAAGAAAAAGAAAGAAAGAAAGAAAACTGTCTAGAGCATTTTGTATATAAGCACCAGTTAAGCTGCGATACCAAACAGGCGCCAAAAGACCACTAAACCTGCTGCCTTAACCTGACTGTACATGCTACTATACGGATCCATGCAGAATAACTAAACCACTGACCAGCATAATCTAAACCACCTTCAGCCGGCATTCATTATAAAACACTCATGCTTTTAAGCCAAATACACGCTTAAAAGAATAATTTACTGCCATCTGGACGAGAGTCACTATTCTCTCCGCCATCTCTGATGAAATCGTCCGTGTTTTCTTTGATCCGTTCAGAATACCTAAACTACTGACCAGCGCATAATCTAAAACACCTTCAGCCGGCATTCATTATAAAACACTCATGCTTTAAAGCCAAATACACACTGAAAATAATAATTTACCGGCATCTGGATGCGAGTCACTATTCTCTCCGCCATCTCTGATGAAATCGTCCGTGTTTTCTTTGCATTAGCGCTGTTTTGAACTTATGAATTATTACTAATTCATTCCCTTGACCTCCTGGGTAGTGTGCATTATAGTGTAATTTCTAATCACCCAGACACTGACGCTTTGACTCAGTACCGGTAACATGTCAGAAGTGCCGGCACGCACGAAAAAGTGCTGGTACGCTAAAGACTGAAGCCCCGTTCACACCGCCAGCGACACACAGCGACAGAGCGACATAATTCCATTCATTTTCAATGGAGAGCTGGCGACTTCCGGCGACACGAGCGACAGTGACCGTTGGCGACGGAATGTGGGCATGTCAAGTGATGCGAGTCAAGCGACAAAAGTTCAGAATTCTTCAATTTTATGCAAATAAGCAGCGAATTTCGCGAGCGACAACCAATGGGAGTGAAGTCAGTGGAGAGCACGTGATTCATCTGCTGTAGTGGAGTGTTACCGGGTAACTAGGCAACCAGTAGTGGGAACGCCCACTAGCGACCTCAATTGCCAGCCACAAGCGACAAGCAGCGAAAAAGTTGCTGGCAGTGTGAACGGGGCTTAAGGCGGGCGTACACGGTGCGATTCTGAAGGTCGGAACGTCGTGAGCTCTGGCACATGTCACGATTGAGTTTATCCGAAAATGGTACGGAGGCAGTCACACACGACACGAATTTACTACGATTTTACAAACTCTGACGTAAGCATTACGTTTCGCGCCATTCATAAAAATATGGATTCTGAGAACGAAATAGTTTTCTTTGTGGCAGGCGGCTTGTGACGTACAAAAAAAAAAAAAAAAAAAAAAAAAAAAGAAAAGTTTAATTCAGGCGAACCGAAACAACGCCTGTGAATGCTACCTGCAAGCAGCCCGAGCTGAAATCCAAGTCCTGGCTCAGCAGCGAGACAACTCCAAACACCAATCGGGTAAAGTCAAATGAAGCCAAGGTGAATTCAATGTCACAAATGAACTGAAATAT